TCTTTGGAGGACCTGCGGCACGCAAGCTTCAAGCCGAGCACCGTTTACGTCACCGTGCGCAGCAACCAGGCGAGACCTACACGGGCTACATTGAAGATGTGTTGCATCTATGCAACCGCATCAACTCTACCATGCCTGAGGAAGAAAAAATCAGGCACATATTGAAAGGCACTGACGACGGCGCCTTTCAGATGTTGCTCGCGAGAAATCCCCCCACAATTGCTGTCCTCGTTTCCCTCTGTCAAAGCTTCGATGAATTGCGTAGGCAGCGCGCAATTGCTCGTCAAGCCCTCACGACGCCAGACACGCTCGCAAGCTTGCACCTAGCTGCCCATCCTACCGATCAGCAGCCGCTGCTTTCGACAATCAAGGACTTCGTCGGCGAAGAGGTAGCTCGCCAGCTGTCACTGCTGCCACTGACACATGAGCCCACGCAAGCTTTGGCACCGGACCTCCAACACGTCATTTGGACCCAAGTCACTGAAGCCCTTCCGCCGGTGCATCAGCAACCACCAGTCACTACGCCTCTCACGTACGCTGCCGTCGCTGCTCGTCCTACGCAACAGCGTATGCCATATGCTCAACCTGCCACGCCACCCTATGTCGTGCCTACAACCCCAATTGCTGCGCTGTATCCCTACGCGAGATCTTCAGCTCCGTTTTATCGTCGCTCAGACGCTTGGAGGACGCCGGATAATAGGCCCATCTGTTTCGCCTGTGGTATCGCTGGACACGTCCCGCGTCACTGTCGCCGAGATCCCCCTCCAGTCGACACCGTGGGCAGGCCAATGGCGTCGTCGTCTAGGACGCCATCAAGGTACACCACTGACGGTCCTCGACCCTACGCAAACCATCGGTCACCATCGCCCCGACGACGCTCCCTGTCACCTATGCGTCGCCGACCTGCTACGGAAGAGGGAAACTGATCGCTGCAGCTCCGGAGGCAACAGCTGCATACAATTCGAACTGCTTAAGGCCTCCATCTTTCTTGCCGCAAAACGTTATTGACTTCAATGTTGAGGGGACCGCCACACAAGCGCTTATCGACACAGGGGCCGCCGTTTCCATAATCTGTAAGACCTTATGCCGCAAGTTGAAAAAGGTGACGACGCCTCTTTCGGGCCTGATGCTCCACACGGCCAACTCGCAGCGCATAGAACTTACAGCTGTGTGCACTGCACGTGTAATTATCCAAGGTGAACTTTATGCCATTGAATTTTTTGTGCTGGCATCCTGTTCCCACGAAGTCATTTTTGGATGGGACTTTCTTTCGCGTCATCGGGACATCATAGATTGCTCATGTGCAGAAGTTGCCCTTACACCGCTGCCAACCTCTTGTTTGGTGGATTCTCTTCCTGAACCTTACAAACTTGTCGTTGTTGCAGACACGGAAATAGCACCGAGAACATCCACCCTTGTAGCCCTGACCTGTACGGCCGCTCCTGCCGGAACTGTTTTGTTCACTCCGTCTGACGTATTTACCCGCCGCCGTAGCCTACACCTGCCCTTTGCCGTACTCACCGTGGAATCCGGTGCTACCGCCATGCTCGTCGCGAACTCGCTATGGTCGCCAGTTACCTTACTTCGCGGAGAATGTTTGGGTAACATACAAGACGTTGACCTCTTGCGCCCTCTAGAGTTCGCCGAACACGCACCTCACCTCCAGCTCAATGCTATGACGCCACCTGTGGCCACACTGCCCGCGCCAGACTCATTCCAGCCCTCTGTTGCCGCTGAGCTATCGCCGACACAAAGAAGGGAACTCTTGTCCCTTCTTCGAGAGTTCCGTTCTGCCTTCGATTGCGCTCAACCATCTTTGGGTCGCACAGCGAACATCACGCACCACATTGACACCGGTACTCATGCTCCCTTACGCCAACGACCATATCGAGTTTCAGCGGAAGAGCGCCGTATTATCAACGAACAAGTCGACGATATGCTCAAGCGTGGTGTCACCCAGCCATCGCAGAGCCCTTGGTCGTCCCCCGTTGTACTTGTGCGCAAAAAGGATGGGTCTATCCGATTCTGTGTCGACTACCGCCGGCTCAATAAGATAACTTGGAAGGATGTGTACCCGTTGCCACGCATCGACGATGCTCTCGATTGCTTGCAAGGGGCAGAATATTTCTCCTCTTTAGATTTACGCTCAGGATATTGGCAAGTTCCAATGGCTGATCCTGACCGATCGAAGACTGCATTTGTAACACCTGATGGGCTGTATGAGTTTAACGTCATGCCGTTTGGACTCTGCAACGCCCCAGCTACCTTCGAACGGATGATGGACACCATCCTTCAGGGCTACAAGTGGAGCACGTTCTCGTGACTTTTCGACCCACCTTGTTCGTCTTCGTGCTATTCTCACGTATCTCACCTCTGCTGGCCTTCAACTTAACATCAAGAAGTGCCATTTTGCCGCACGTCAGCTCACTATACTGGGTCACGTTGTCTGCAAAAAGGGTGTTCTCCCGGATCCGGCGAAACTCCGCGCCGTGGCTGACTTTTCGAAGCCCAATTCCATCAAGACGCTTCGAAGTTTTATCGGCCTGTGCTCATACTTTCGTCGATTTGTGCGCAACTTCTCTTCTATCATCGCTCCTCTTACCAACCTGTTGAAAACTTCCAAAGGCATTTCTGCTTGGTCAAAAGAGTGCGACGAATCCTTCACCGCGCTTCGGCGGTTATTACTATCACCTCCAATACTACGTCATTTTGACCCTGATGCGCCTACGGAGGTCCACACTGACGCCAGTGGTGTCGGTCTTGGTGCTGTATTGGCTCAACGAAAACCAGAGTACCAAGAATACGTGGTCGCTTACGCGAGTCGAACCCTCAAGAAAGCCGAGTGTAATTATTCCGTCACGGAGAAAGTGTGCCTCGCAATTGTCTGGGCTTTGACGAAGTTCCGCCCATACCTTTATGGCCGCCCTTTCGAAGTCGTCACGGACCACCACGCTCTATGCTGGCTATCATCGCTCAAAGACCTGTCGGGGCACCTTGGTCATTGGGCGCTTCACCTACAGGAATACGACATTCGTGTTGCATACCGATCCGGCCGCAAGCACTCCGACGCTGATGCGCTATCCCGCTCGCCGCTACCGTCAGACCCAACCCCCTCGTCACCTTCTTCAGCTGTCACAACACCAATCGACTTCACAGACATGGCATCGGAACAATGCAAAGATGTGTGGATTTCCCAACTCCTCACCTTTCTGACTGATCCGTTAGCTAATTGGGTCTCAAGAACTATCCGCCGTCAAGCCACACATTTCGCTGTTCGAGACGACCTACTCTATCGGCGGAATTACACGACTGAAGGTCGGAGGTGGCTGTTACTGATACCCAACCACATGCGCTCGGAAATCTGTAATGCTTTCCACAACGACCCGCAAAGCGTTCACGCTGGCGCTCTCAAAACGTACAACCGTCTACGTCAGCGGTACTACTGGCGCGGCATGTACACATTTGTCCGCAAGTACGTACGTGCTTGTACTGCATGCCAGCGACGTAAAGTCCCACCTCAACGCCCTGCCGGTACACTTCAGCCTCTGCCTTGTCCAGCGCGTCCGTTTGACCGCGTCGGTATCGACTTATACGGACCACTTCCAACGTCGTCTTCTGGAAATAGGTGGATAATTGTCGGCGTGGACCACCTCTCGCGTTACGCGGAGACGGCAGCACTACCCGCAGCAACCACGAGGGAAGTTGCATTTTTCATCCTGCACAACTTTGTTCTTCGCCATGGTGCTCCCCGCGAACTTTTGAGCGACCGGGGGCGTGTTTTCTTGTCTGACGCCATTCAAGCGTTGCTCGCTCAGTGCAACATGGTTCATCGCATGACGACAGCATATCACCCGCAGACGAATGGCCTCACAGAACGATTCAATCGCACTCTCGGTGATATGTTGACGATGTACACAGCTTCAGACCAGACCAATTGGGACACTGTCCTTCCATTCGTCATGTATGCGTATAACACCGCTGCGCACGCGACAACAGGGTTCTCTCCTTTTTTTCTGTTGTACGGACGCGAACCATCGTGCACGCTGGACACTATCCTCCCATACACGCCCGACTCCTCCGAGTACACTGCAATTTCTGATGTTGCCAGGTACGCAGAAGATTGCAGACGATTGGCCTGTTCACTGACAACCGAGGACCAAGGCCACCAGAAGCTACGGCATGACACCGACCGACATCTCTCTACTTTCACGACTGGTGCTCTCGTTTGGCTCTGGATTCCACCGAGCACTCCTGGCCTTTCGTCGAAATTACTGGCACGATACCACGGGCCCTACCGCATTCTCGCCCGTACGTCACCAGTCAATTATGAGATTGAGCCTTTGACACAGTCTCATGACTTACGCCGTCGTGGCCGAGAAATTGTGCATGTGAGTCGCCTGAAGCCGTATTACGACCCCGCTATAGTGACTACGCCTTAAGTCGCCAGGTTGGCTACGCTATTCACCGGGGGCCAATGTAGGGAACTATGCGAACGACGACGAAGCAGCATGAAACGGCAAGCCACAGCGTTGGTGCACGCGCGTGACCCGAGCTTGCGTTTGTTTTGTATTTTCGGCCTGTTGGCGTTCCTCGCTCTTCTGGCGTTCCTCGGCCTTCCAGTAGGTCTGTACGTAAATAAACTGCGTGACAGTATGGTGGTTTTCGGGCGTTAAACCCTACATATTAATCAATGACAACAATCTACAAAGACCAGTTATTGTCTCATAACAGCTTTCGCTGTAAAATACTGGTCATTTAGGAAATGCTCTTATGAAACAGTATTCTACTCGATTTGAACCCGCTCACAAAACTTATTAACTATTGCAGCCATCATTTGAACCGCTCACTGTCATTGGCAGCGACAAATGTGGAAACAATTGGACTTGTGCTTGTCCGTGTGTCTCCTTTCTTCGTCCCCATTTGTTGCACACAAAATACTTCCGTGGATTTCATCGATTGTTATATGTGAAATTCTTGTGGATTCGTTTTATGCTCTGCAGGTCCAGCTGTCTGGCCCGACGAGCTTTGCGCCCTTGGTGCAGAAAGCACAGCAGATTGCTGTTGACAGCCGCGAGTTTCACGTGCTGCTCATGCTGACTGATGGACAGCTTAACCCTGCTGGAGAGATCGCTTCCAGAAAAGCAATCATTGCAGCTTCTCAGGTACTCATCTGCACCTTCAGTACTTGTAGGCTTAATCTCCAGGACACTGAAGAGCAATAAAGCGCCCGTTCACTTGAGTCTATATCCAACCTGAATAGTAGTCTAGTGCGTCAAGTTGGGCTGGTTGGTGAAAGTTCATTTTGAGAAAGTTTTCACTTTTTGCTAGAAACATGCTGTAGAAACCTTTTACTGTGTTTCTAGTGCAATAAAACATTTTTTTCGAGATAAGTAGTGCACAATCCGTCTTGCTATTTCTAGTGTAGTAAAACAACTTTATCAACATGTCAAGAGCCCCAAGCCATCATGGAGTGTGTGGGGTGTATTTATTCCTTGTCCTTCGTAAATTGTGCTAATTTTCATCAGCATACTAGCTTATCCAAATTTTCTTAGTATTTGTTCTTAGTGCCCTTATACTTTCTAAATATACCTTCAAAGGGGCACTGAACCGTCTAGGACAGCAAAAGCTGCCATGGTCACTATCATGCATCTTAACCGAGAGCTTAACCGTGAGCTTAACAAATACTTTACAAATACTTAACAAATACACCACTGGTAATGGCGAGTGGTGTATTTCCCTCCCCCCCCAAAAAAAGGGGGGTGCACATACCAATTGCTACTCATTTCCAGTGTTCACTTCAGTGTGCACTTTGAGTCAAATTCAGTGAATATGAACTTATCACAATGTGGGCATTCCTTTAATCTTGCCCACCTTTGTTGGTTTCATGGAATCAGTACACTCTGAAAGGGTGTGTTCAATTAATTCTTCATTCTTTTTCATAATCCATCATTCCAAGTGGCTGATGCGAACACTATCATACCGTAGTGCATCAACACCAAAGTGAATGACAAAACGTGAAAAAAAGAGATCTTGCAAGGGGTCATTACTCAAACCAAAGGCCATGCTCTGATACAAAAGTGGTCGAGCCACACTGCAGCCCTTACTGCTCATGATTTGCCTTGACATTGGTGAGAGAAGATATTCATTTGGGTTGCATCTGTATTTATGCCATTTCCTACATGTGTGAAGAATCATGCTGAACAAGCTTGTCAAACTTTTGTTGAAGACGGTGTTTCTCTCTGCCAATGGTTGTTGCAGAGGTACAGTGATTACAGTACTTGGCTGCTCACTAGTGCCAGCTATGGCATCTGCATGTAGGTGAAATGCTTAAGGCCAGTGTTCTGTGTGATGTCAGTGCACATTAGAGAATCGCAGGGGATCGAAATCATCAGAAGCCCTCCACTTCACAGTTACTAAGACTCGAAACAATGCAAGATAACCAATAGAGCCACCAAGCAGTTATTCAGATCAGATAAAATAACTTGATTGAGCACCCCGTGAATTGGTAGGATGAGTCTAGATCATCCCACCTAGGCTTCGCGGCCAAGGATTGTTAACCCAACAGAGTTACCTACACTATTTACTAGATGGAACGCTGCTGGTGCTACGATCAGCCACCATGGAATTTGCCTGATCTTTGTTTTTGTGGCTTCCAATGCACTTGCAACATTGTTTATTGATGTGTTTTGCTGTTTGCTTCGTATAAAACGTTGAATTGTTGTGAACTTTGAGAGATGATTGTGAGCCTACAAAGGTTATGGTGGCGAAGTGGAACTTGCGAAAGACTACCGTATAAACCGGAATATGAGTCGAGATTTTTTCAATAAAATACTAAGCTAAAGTCGCCCCTCGTCTTATGTAGCGGTGTCTAGCCGAAAGTGCAACGCTGTCTGGCAACATATGGCTTGCCTGTGCTTGTGAAGCCAGACGCGGCCATATCCGCATCCAAATCCAATCGCAGTCTGTTTTTTTTGTGTTCGTGATTTGCTTCTGATCTGTTCCGAGTTTTCGCTCCGCTTGACATTGCGCTGCATTTTTAGTGGCCTTTTTTTTTTTTCGTTCGCTGAATATGTCTAGCGGTGCGAGGAGGCAGTACTCAGCTGTGTTTAAACTAGATGTTAAGTTCACAGAAGCGAACGGGAATATGGCTGCTCAGCGCCGCTTTGGTGTATCGGAAAAAAGCGTGCGCTATTGGAGGGCGCAGAAAGGGAAGCTGCAGATGTGCAATCCTCGAAAAATGTCGTTTCGTGGACGAAGTGCCGTTCATCCGCAGCTGGAGGATAAGCTAGCGGACTTTGTGCGGGAAGGTCGTGCGCGCTCGCTGCCAGTGACCGTGGATACCATTCGCAAGAAAGCCGTGGAACTCGCTCGGCAAGCTGGGCTCACGAGAGAAGAGTTTCGTGCACCGAACTCTTGGGTGCGCCGATTTATGCGACGCAAAGGATTTTCTCTCCGGCGGCGCACATCCATCTGTCAAAAGTTGCTGGAGGAGTTCGAGGACAAGCTCATAAACTTTCAGCGCTTCGTAAACCGGCTTCGGGAGCAGACCGACTACATGATGGGGCAGATTGACAATGCCGATGAGACCCCCGTGTTGTTTGACATGCCTTCGTCGACCACGATCACGCAGCGCGGCGCCAAGGATGTGAAGCTGTTGTCCGCTGGCAACGAGCACTCGCGCTTCACCGTCATGCTGGCATGCACGGCAGATGGTAGAAAGCTTCCGCCCGTCGTCATTTTCAAACGCAAGACAATGCGATGGTGCGACAATGCGACAGTTGCGATGGTGGTAGAGGGGAGCTCCGACGATCGGGATGGGGTGTGCCCAATTCGCAAATAAATGTGGTTTGGCAGTTTTGGGTTGTTTTTCCCTTTTTTTTTTCTTTTTTGGTAACCTGAACTTGGGGGGTCGACCTATATTCCCACTCGACCTATAGTCCGGTTTATACGGTATGTGAAGCGAAACAGAGCCGAAAGAATAAAGATTAGACAAACCCCCAGCATTTTGATGCTGGCAAAAGTGTCTTGCATTGCAGCTCCCACAGCACTAGTGCCAGAGTTACCTGTAGTGTACTTATGAAAAGCTCTATGGCTGGCCCTTGGCGGCTTTTTCAGCTTGCTGGACTGCAACTTTGAGTGATGAGTGCATTGTGCGAAGAATTCACGAAGTTGTAGTGCGAGTTACAATGATTTTAGTGAACAGTGTTTCATTTGTTCATCATGGATAGCATAGTAGAGCAGATTGCAGCTATCAAGTTTTGCATAAACCTTGGCAAAACAGGCACAGAAACCACGGACCTGATTTAAACTGCTTGTAGCACTGGGGCTCTCGTTGAGCGAACATTTTTGCACGACATGGGCGGTTTCGTGAGGGTTGGGAGGTGGTGTGTACGGCATGCCTAATAAATGTACAGCATACCTAATAATTCTATCTTCTTGTAAAAGCCCAAAAATGATTATATCTCTCTCTCCATCTGTTGCAGGTGGCACCACTGTCACTGGTCGTGGTAGTGCTGGGCGACGGGCCGTGTGGAGCTCTGGTGCGCTGGGACGATGGCGTCCCCGAGCGCCGCTTCGACAACCTGCAGGTGGTAAGGCATGCCGAGGTGACACGTGGGTGCCGACACCCAGATGCCGCATTGGCCCTGCACGCGCTGATGGAGGTGCCTGACCAGTACCATGCAGCCGTGCAACTGGGTCTGCTCAAAGTTGGCATGTCGTCTTGATTGCGTTGAGCAAAAAAAAGAAAGACCACTGCTCCGGCCAACTCATGAGTAGAAAGAAAGCTGTCACGTGTCTTTATTGGATGTTATTGTGGTCCGTCCACACACATTATGCCAAGCAGATTTCTAAACATGATGCCCCAAAGATGTGGCCGTGCTATCGCCACGACCTATATAGGCAAAAACATGCCATGAATGCCACTATAAACTGAATGGCGATGCATGAAGGGACGTAAGCAGCTTTCTAGAAGACAGCTGAGAAATGCAAATCGGGGCAGCAAACACCAGAGAAGGATGGACAGCTTGGCACAGTCACCCACTAGGCCTTTTTGTCTGCACTGGAGCAGCTTAATTTATGAGCCCGCAGCTTTTTGTATAATTTAGCCCAAAATGCTTTCAAACGCTTTCATGTGGCCACACAAAACTGTTTCCAGTGGCTTTAAAGGGTGGCCAACTGATTCAAGTGCCCGATGAAAGTTTCAAGGAAAACTAACTTTTGTGTGGTTTAACATTTTGTGTTTAGCAGACTTTCCTGGTAACTATGTAAGTAACAGTCTGCAAGTGCTGTGCTTTCTTTTAGAGGTGGTCTCGCAAAACCATTAGCTGTGTTTTACATTTCTATATAAATGTTGCCCTCAGTAGCCTTGTTGTTATTAGTGCGAGCTGTGAAGAAGCAGAATAAGCATTTTCCACCCAGCACTTCTACCACCCACGAAGAGGTTTATTGGCCGAGCATTCCTTTGGTAGCTCCAGGAAAAAATCTGATCAGTTAAAGCAGAGCACTGTCCAGAAAGACACCAGTGACCAGCAGCAAGTGAACCGAACAAGCACTTGTGATGTTGCTGATGTGTCTTCTCTTTTGCAGCGCTCATTACATCCATCGTAAAGAATAAGAGAACACTAAATTGTGCAGCTTAGGAAACGGGTGAAGTATGCTTGCGTGCATTCACCTGTTATCACTTGTCTTGAGGTACCTAGCAGTAAGTCAGTGACATCATCATGATTATGTTGGTTCCTTTTTGATGGTTCATGCATAGATCATTACTAAACCGTTCTGAAGTTCTTTGGCAGGTTTCGTTGCAGCTGTGCGCTTTCTAAGTAGTGCCAATCATCTTCTTTACATCGTTCAGCAATGCGACATGCGTCAAATCATCCTGCACAATTTTTCATGAAACAGTAGTTCTGTGCAGTGTAGAAAGAAAGAGAGGGAATGAAAGTTTCACAATTATTATTGCTTCATGGCAGTATCGTAATTTAAAGGGTGCCCTGTAGATCCCGCAGTTCTGGTTGTCCTTGCCGTAGGAATGGCTGCATCTGCCAACAGCACTCCATACCTCCATACAAGGGAGTCTCATTTGAGCACCCACCCAAAATTTACAGGCCTTGTTTGGAAAAATAAGGAGAAAGGGGGTGGTGAGGAGATGCTTGCTGTGTTGCACAGCAGCTGCCCAATGTTTTACTTCATCATCGTCATTTATTTGACCCTTAAGGGCCCCTTAGGGGCATTACAAAAGGAGGGGAGGGGGACATTTTTCTAAATACAAAAACAAAAAAAAAATAGAAAGTTGTACAAACACACGAGCAATACTTTTGCAGGATCCGAGAACAGGCGCACAGAAAATGTACTTATACAAGTATAAAAAACATGCGCGCACAAAATTTACACATACAAGAGCGCAAAATACAGTGGCAGTGGTAGAGTTTTAATGGGCTTCCAAGTTTAAGTGAGCTGTTAGTAGTTGTTTGAATGCGCACGAGTCACGCTCTAAGACGATGGCTTCCGGTAAGTTATTCCATTCCTCGATGGCGACAGGAAGAAATGACTTATTGAATGCAACGGTCATACCGAAAAGACGTTGGAGGCTTCTGGAATTGAATTGCAGGCGGGAGAAAGCAAGAGAAAACCATGCAAGTGAGGAAAATAATAGTATAATTTGTGAAATAAACAAAGTCGAGAAAGTATACGTCTGTCAGCTAGATTCTGCAAGTCTAAAGACTCCTTTATAAAAGTGATGCTTGATGAGTGATCGTAATTGGACATAATGAACCGGGCAGCCCTATTCTGAACGGATTCCAACAGATTAATCAGATAGGTTTGGTGAGGGCTCCAAATGGACGAGGTGTATTCGAGCTTCGTACGAACGAAGGTTACGTACGCAATTTTACGGACTGTAGGAGGTGATAGGCATAACGTTCTTCGGATGTAACCAAGCTTCTTTGATGCGTCAGCAATTAAGTGTGTGATGTGATCCGACCACGTGAGAGTGTTAGAAATAAGCACGCCAAGGTATCAGTAACTATCAACATACGCCAAGGTCGTTGAGTTTAAATTGTAGACGTGTTCCGAGTTAGATTGTTTGCGAGATACGCGCATGACTTTGCATTTGGAAACATTGGTCTGCATCATCCAGAGTGAACACCAGTTTTCAATTAAGGATAGGTCATTTTGTAGAATTTCGTGGTCGTCAGGGGTGGTTATTCGGCGATAAAGGACGCAATCGTCCGCAAATAATCGAATGGATGATGAAATTCCTGATGGTAGATCGTTCACATATATGAGGAAGAGTAAGGGGCCGAGTACTGACCCCTGAGGGACACCGGATTTAACCGGAGCAGCAGTGGAGTGAGACCGGCAATGTCAGTGAACTGAGATCGGTGTGATAGAAAGCATCAGATCCATGACAGGGCTAAAGGGTCCAAGTTCAGACAGCAGAGTTTGTTTATTAGTCGTTGATGAGCGACACGATCAAAGGCTTTAGAGAAGTCTATGTATATGACGTCAGTTTGAAATAGAGAATCTAAATTTAGGTGGAGGTCGGCAGTGAATTCAAAGAGCTGAGTTTCGCAGGACAAACCAGGTCGGACGCCATGCTGATTTTTGAAGAAAAACCCGTTGTTATCGAGGTGGTGGGCAACATGGGAATAAATAATGTGCTCGAGGCATTTGCAGGCAATGCATGTCAGCGAAATAGGACGATAATTAGATGGGTTAGAACGGTCACCTGATTTGAATACTGGGGTTACCTTGGCTACCCTCCAGTCCGCAGGTATGATACCTTCGGAGAGGGACTGAGAGAATATGATTTGCAGAATGTGGCTAGAAATAGCTCCAGTGGATTTTAGTAGCTTTGCCGGTATGTTATCAGGACCAGGGGCACTCGATGTTTTTAGTTGGTTTATAATTTTTAGGATACCTTCAGCATTTATGGTGATGGATGGCATCTGGGGAAAGTTATACCCGGAGGCAAAGGGGATATTGCCCGACGGCTCATTAGTAAAGACTGAGGAAAAATAAGAATTCATCAAGTCAGAGGGCTGCTGAGCTGGAACCTGTGAGCTATCAGGATTGCACAGTGAAATGTTATGCGCTAAATTGTTGGGGTTGATAATGTTCCAAAATTTTTTAGGTTTGTCGCGGATGATTTTTAAGAGATCTTCATGGTAATACTTCTTTTTGGCTTTTTTCAGCGCGCTAGTATATTCCCGAAGGCAAGTGAAATATTTGTCCCATTTCGATGGAGAAATGCTACGTTTTGCCTCGCGGAAAAGGCATTTCTTCTTTTGTGAGAGTTTTTTTATAGAAGTTGTATATCAAGGACTGTCGTCGTCACAGCGAACAGACACTAGTGGAACGTATTCTTCGGTTAGCGTCAAGACCTTTTGTTTATACAGTAACCAGTTCTGTTCAACGCTTCTGGAGATGGCCGTTTGAGAGAAGAAACTATAAAAGCTTTCCAATTCGGTAATGATTGCGTGAATGTTGGCTTTATTGTAGTCGCGTATGAGCTTCTTCCGTGAATTATGCCTAGGTACTGGAATAGAGAGGTTGAATAGTATGGTACAGTGATCCCTCAGGCCTTCTATACACGTAGGTGAGTGAATAAGGTCGGGGTGGGAAGCGAAGACAAGATCAAGGATGTTGTCACCACGAGTCGGAGTATTAATTGTCTGCGTGAGGTTGAATAGGAGGGACAGTTGAATGAAGTCATTTGATAGCCATGAAGGGGCCTTAAGGTTGGCCCAGTCTATATCGGGAAGATTAAAGTCCCCGCAGAGAAAGAATTTTGCACGAGGAATCGGGAGTTCAAATCAACTAACACCGAGTGCAGGTCCTTAATAAAAGCATAGTCACAGTCTGGAGGTCGATAGCAGGTGACCAGTATGTGATTACCCGAGGCAACTGGCAGATTAATACAGAGGATTTCATAGCTGCTGTTTATATCTACCTTATAGGAGTGCAAGTGGGATTTGACTAGAACCAGCATTCCCCCTCCCCTTCTCTCAACCCTATCTCGTCTGTAAATTGTGAAGGACCCAAAATCACGTAGAATTTCGTTGCTCTGTATGTTTTAATTTAGCCACGATTCAGTAAAAATTGCTACTTCGGTGTTGTTGTCAAGTAGGAGTGCCTCTATAGCTTCTTTTTTTGGCAGGTAACTGCGCACATTCGCAAGTAGGACCGACAAAGTATGAGGTGAACGGGGCGGAGAAGGCACAGGTGCAGCTTTATTAGATACTGAATTCGTGGAAGCATGTAGCAATTGCTACTTTACTTCGAAAACAGATGCTGTATCAGCATTGTACGTGAACTGTTTATTTTCCATGAAAAGCTTATCAAACCTAATTTTAAATGGGCGTTTCTTTTCTTGAGCAAACAAGTAAAGATTCTTACGGGCTAGACGAACACGAGAAGAATAGTCTTCACGAATTTGGAAATTAGAGCCTTTAAGTTTGGATCCAGCCACAAGTATTCTAGTTTTATCTTTAAATGTCCAAGTTTTACGATTATCGGACGGTTCTTAGTGCCTTGAAAATGGCCCAGCCGGTGGGCCCTTTCGATTGCGTCTCTGTCAAGCGTTACGCCGAGACTTTCCGAGCAAAAAGCCATTACTCGCGATTTGGCTACTCGGCCCATGTTTCACCTTCCGTGTCTGGCATTCAAAAGAAAATTAGATTACAGCGACGCTGGCGATTTTCCGAGTCGTCACACTTTGCAGCTAGTTCCCTTACTTCAGAAGCAAGTTTAGTGATTGTGGAGCTAGTGTTAGAGTCTGATACAGGCTCACTGGTCTGAGCCACTCTTTCCAGTGCATCAACTCGAGCGGCGAGGTTGCTAACCATACTTTTTATGTTTGAGTTATCAGCATGAATAAGGGTTAGCTCCGCCAGTACAGCATTTTGACCTTATTCAAGGCGGGAAATAGCACTGGCTATAGTTTCAAGGGACGTGGAGGAGTTTTTGCTAGTAGGACCAGGGTTGAGTTCGACGTCTCCTGACATCAGAAGCAAAAGACTAGCTAGGTGAAAATCGATACATAACAAGTACAACGACTGGCATAACGATTCACATAGGTAACCACACAGGCCGATTGAAGGGCACGGCACCGCAAGAACATAACGATCATCAAAATGAACGCTCATGGCGTACGGTAAATAACTAACCTGCGCAAACAGGGGAAGTCTCATGACCGTGATCGTTACGGTGGCGTGCCCCAGCTGATTCCAGAGTGACAGAGGCTTTTGTAGGAGGGGCGTAGTTACCCGCACGCCTGGTAGCACTATGTTGCCCGCCGAAATTGCAATCAGTCACCAAACGTGGAGGGTAGCTTTTGGTTCCAGTATTCAGCTGTGATCCGAGGGTCGCTGCGTCGAAGGTTTCAGGCATTGGAGTCATCGCAGGAAACCCAAGATCGGGCCAGGGTAGATTCCGTGCAGAAGTAGGAACCGTGGTGACGACGAGTGGGCCGGCCATGATCGCAAGGGCAAAAACCTGCACAAACAGGAGAAGTCTCATGACCGTGATCGTTGCGGTGGCGTGCCCCAGCTGATTCCAGAGTGACAGAGGCTTTTGTAGGAGGGGCGTATCACCCGCACGCCTGGTAGCACGATGTTGCCCGCCGAAATCGCAGTCACCAAACGTGGAGGGTAGCTTTTGGTTCCGGTATTCAGCTGTGATCCGAGGGTCGCTGCGTTGAAGGTTTCAGGCATTGGAGTCATCGCAGGAAACCCAAGATCGGGCCAGGGTAGATTCCGTGCAGAAGTAGGAACTGTGGTGACGACGAGTGGGCCAGCCATGATCGCAAGGGCAAAAACCTGCGCAAACAGGGGAAGTCTCATGACCGTGATCGTTGCGGTGGCATGCCCCAGCTGATTCCAGAGTCAAGTGTTACAGCTGTTATAGCTGATCAGCTGTTACAGCTGATTGAAGCAAGTGTTACAGCTGTTAACCAACTCCAAGACCACCCATTGCCCTATGCATTTCTGAGGGGAGAAAAAACAAAACCATAATCCTGCAGCTGAGAACACTGTCGAAGGGCACCTGCAAGTCGAGTGCCCGACTCCCTTTGTTGTCACAGAGGGTGTCGAATGAAGTAAGTCTTGTGGGTGGGAACAAAAGGGCACATGCGACATTATGCCCCATTTGCTCATCACCGCATTCATATTAAGGGAATTTCATTTAGCCATTTTAGCATTGGTTTGTTGCTTGCCATGCAAAGATGAAATCGTCGAGATAATTGAATTGGGTGCTTGCTTCAGTCATAGGTACTTTGCGTATTTGGTGCAGCATCCGCCCTGACGAATTTTTCAGCTGCACACCTGGTTCTGCATTTTGCTGTGAAATGGGGAAGACAGCATAGGAAAAGGGTTCAGCCTGGCTGGACTCCACCGGAGCGCATTGCTGCCTGCTGATTGTCAGCAAGATATTTGGCACAAGGGACGTTCCTCGGTGATCTTTGGAGCTGGACTGAACATCACTTGAGTGGCTATTTCGGCAGAGAAGTGCCTGCCGCTTCTTGATCATGTCGCTTGAGAATTTCAGAGCTGCAACAATGGCAATGTGGGGAGAATGGATTTGCCTGCATGAACCCAAGACGTGCACAGTGTCTAAAGGTCACCCTGCAGGCTTCTGCCGCTGGCAGGCTCAAGTGTTCTGGCAGCTGTCTCGCCATGCACTCTGCATGGACTTCTCTTGCAAAGCTACTGTAAACAGTGTGTAATGTGACCCTCGGAAAACCTCGGGCTAGTTGTTTTGGAGCACAGCAAGTGAGCAAGCACTGTGGTGAACAGTTTCATTGCTTTGGGCATTTTTATGGGTCATACAAATAGCATCATTCGAATGAAAAGAAGTCCTCGTCAAGGTGACCGAGTAACAGATTTAATTGAGAGCTGCTTCTTGCAGGGCAAGTTGTTGGATGTCTGGGTTGGCAGAAAAACAAGACACATAGAGTGCAAACTGGGAACTGAATTTATTGATTTGGTTGTCGCATATATACAGTTGAGCCCCTTCATAAGAAACTCTTAGTGGGCACGGCGAAAACGCTGGAAGCAGATCACTGTTTCGTTTTCTTTGTTCAGACTTTGTTCCTGACATCTGCCCCCTTCTTCGATTCGCCCGCATTCAAGCCGATTCCAGCAGCGACAACATGTGACATCGACGGCAAGGCTGCATGGCTCCTTCCAACGCTTTTTGACGCAAGGAGCAAGAGTCACGGGTTCGTGACGTCGACAGAACCAGCCCCTATAAAGGTGGCATTGCGGGACACACTTGCCAGTGGGCACGGCGAAAACGCTGGGAGCAGATCACTGTCCATGTGTCTCGTTTTCTTTGTTCAGGTTAGTTACAATAGCACAATATGCAGTGATGACAGATACCTGATTTTATTGCCGTGCCCACGTGTGTGCTTGAGTATTGCTTATGATTGCTTATTTTCAAGCAAGCTTTTAATTTGTGGTGATGTCGAAGAGAATCCGGGCCCCTCTGTCGAGGAAATGTTCCAATCGTTAGTAATTGGCCAGCAGGCAATTAGAGAAGACATTGCTTCCTTGAAGGAGAGACTGGAATCCACAGAGAAAGCTGTACAAGGCTTTGAAAAGCGTCTAAGCAACTTGGAATATAGCATGGTTAAATCAAAAGCGAGAAATTGCGAACACGAGGGAGTAAATGCGGCTGTGGATGCAGTGCAAAAATTACTCAAAGTTCAACAGGAAAAACTTGTCGATCTAGAAAACCGCAGTCGCCGTTCGAATTTGATTGTTTTTGGAATTCCGGACGAGCCAAATGAAACTGAGGTGAAGCTATGGGATAAGGTTGTTCACGGCGTCTTTCGTTACAAACTGGGGATAAATTGCATATCCGTGGCGCGAATTCACCGGTTTGGAAAAGCACACCGAGGAAGGGCAGTCATTGCGCTCATTCAAAGTTACTCTGAGAAAGAAGCACTGCTAAAGAATGCACACAAGCTAAAGGGAACAGGTATATCATTGCAAAATGACTATTGTGCAGACACATTGCGCAGGTGCCGACTTCTGTGGAGCAGTACACAAGACGAAAGAGCAAGCGGTAAGAAAGTCAAGCTCGTTCATGATAAGATTCGCATTGACGGTGCTCTATACTTTTTGGATGACGCACACAATATGCGGAAAGAAATTCTAAAGAAAAAGGAAAACTCTGAGACACGAACGCGACATACAGAATAGCAGTCACAGTATCGGCAGTTGCGACTGCTTTCACTAAATGTCCTAAGTGTTGTCAACAAAATAGAAAAACTGCATGATACCTTGCTGGCATACGATCCTCATGTGTGCGTTATTTGTGAAACTTGGTTGCACGACGGGATGCGTGATGATGAAATTGTTTCACCGAACCATCAATTGTTCAGAAAAGATAGATGTTCCTGAGGTGGTGGTGTTGCAGTCATTTCAAAAAATAGTGTTGATGTAAGAGTACTAGATCAGATTGACAAACATAAATGTTTATTCTTGAGTGTCACTGTTCAAAGCGTGCAATTCATATTATGTTCCATGTATCGAGCCCCAAATGCTGATGATCAGTACATGCAGAAGTTATATGATCTCATTTTGAAGGTTAAAGGAAAAAAACCTAATAATTACTGGTGATTTTAATCTGCCACAAATAGATTGGTATCATTGGAAACGTGGACATAGCCTGTCATGTGACTTGCTCATTGATATTCTACTAAACATGAATCTCCATCAAGTTGTACATGCACCTACCCGTGGTAGCAATATTCTTGACTTGTTATTTGTTAGTGACATTTTCAGCAAAGGAGTTGTTGAGATTGAGAATGGCATTTCTGATCATCAGCTGAATTCCTTCATGGTATCAATGAGTGAGAGTCATGTACGGTTACCCCATGAAAAAACGGAAGTTAGAGATTATCATAAAGCGGATGATGAATCTATTATTGATTATTTAGATTTGCACCTAAATATTGTTGACAGAGATGTAGAGCTTTCTTGGCAAGCATTTACGGGCACCATTACTTATTGTACTGACAAATTTATTCCTTTGAAGAGCATTAAGAAACCCTTGTCCAACCCTTGGTTAAGCAGAGACATTATCCAAACTAGGCGCAGACTCAAGAAAATGAAAAAGAAACATAAATTCAAGAGTCCAATGGTCATAGAATTAATAAATAATTTGCTGGCTAAAGTGGAAAAGGCGCAAGATAGATTTTTCAATCATAGCGTTTCTGATTTTATCATAAACTCTCCCCAAAAGTTTTGGCGCTATCTAGGTCAGTCAAAAAAGCCGCACAAAAAGTAAACATTAACGGTAAAATTATTGAAGACCCTCAAGATATTCCAGAACATTTCAATGATTACTTCTGGAGTGTGTTTTCTGAATTAGACTGTTATGAACTAAGCAATGCAAAACCTGTAGTGCACGAGTTTACAGTTTCTCGACAAGGTGTTTTGGAAATGCTTCTTAATCTTGATGTACGTAAATCTGCAGGCCCTGACGGTATACCGAATGTTTTTTTACGACGTTACACGGAATAGATTTGTGTCTTTTTAACAGAGTTTTTCAAGTTATGTTTACGCTTTGAGAATATTCCATCCGACTGGCGCAAAGCCAGAGTTGTCCCAATTTATAAAAAGGGAGACTATCTTGCAGTTTCTAATTATCAACCACTTTCTAATACAAGTACTTGTAGTAAATTATTAGAACACATTGTGGCAGGTTTTATTCGCCAGTATTTGAGTGATCACAAGGTCCTCTCTCAACAACAGCATGGATTTCGAAAGGGGTTATCGGCTACAACTCGGCTTGTGTCAGTTGTTCATCATATTTCTGAGGTACTTGACTCGTTAGGACAAGTCGACATGCTATTTTTCGATTTCAGTAAAGCCTTCGATAGGGTGCCTCACGGAAAATTAATCTACCAGCTTGAGTGCATTGGTCTCCCTTCAAACATTATATCATGGATCCAGGCATACCTACGGCACAGGCAACAGTTCGTAGAAATTAAGCAATGCTCGTCCGTTGCGCGCCATGTAACCTCGGGCGTGCCGCAAGGCAGCGTACTGGGACCACTCCTATTCTTGATCTATATAAATGATATCTCGGAAAAACTCCCTAGTGACGTGCATGTAAATTTATTTGCGGATGACTGTGTCATATTTAAAGAAGTTACCTCGTAGAATGATCACCAAAGCTTGCAGCAATCAGTCACAGCTATTTCAGAGTGGTGTAGACTTGGGGAATCGAAATAAATGTACAAAAAACAGTTTTGATGCGAGTAACAAGAAAAAAAGAACCTAGCATATTTTCTTACGTTCTTAACGACACCATAATAACCAAGGTTGACCTGTATAAATACTTAGGCATCGCGTTTGATAACAAACTTACTTGGTCAGGTCATATATCTCTAACATGCTCTTCGGCCTTGCGCAAATACTGGTTTTTGAAAAGAAAACTTAGCAAAGCTCCGGCGAGTACAAAGCTTTTGGCATACAACGCAATTGTGCGCTCAAAACTTGAATATGCAGCGGTTGTATGGGATCCTCACACCAAAAAAGACATCATGAATTTGGAGCGTGTGCAGAGGAAGGCTGTTAGATTTATTTTCGGAAAATACAAAAGAGAACATTCCCCTTTACTTCTAATGCTTATCAATAAAATAAGTTCACTAGAACATCGCCGTAAACTTAGTCGCCTACAGTTTCTGCACAACATAATAAAAGGAAAAATTGGCCTTCAGAAGCCTCACTTTTTAATACCCCTAAACACACGGTTGACTAGACAGGCACAGCTTTTTTCTCATGCCTGTATTCGCCAAAACCAAATCTCACATGAACAGTTTTTTTCCGCGCACCATAAAAGAATGGAACTCTTTACCTGTTCATGTCATAGAATCGGAAAACTTTACAAAGAATTGGAAAACCACTTCTCCTAATGTTTAGTATAAATATGATCAGTGTTAAACATTTCGTACAATTGTGTCGTGAATACCATGCTCTGTGTAGTGCTCTATTATTGTCTTAAGATTTTTTTTTTTTCGTTGCTATCACTTGTGTAAATTGTTTTGCGAAGCAAGCGTCTTGCACTGTATGTTTTTCTTCTTGCATTGTTAGTCTTTTTGTGAATGCCTTGTTATTGTATTTTGTATTTGCCCCTCCTGCATGGGCCAGCATATTGGCCTGCAGTAGCGATAAATAAAATAAATAAATAAATGTAAGAGACAAATGGGTATAAGAAATGCCAGTGTGCCTACAGCAAAATAAGGGGTGGATAAGAAAATGCATACAAGGTACCCTGCTTATTAGAGACATCTTATATAAAATTCAAGAATTATATACAGAGCATGCCTCTTAACTGTATATCCCAAATAATTGGAAAGAGCCCCCGGGAAAGGAAGACGGAAGATGCACATGTCACCTCACATCTTTCAGTCTACTTTGTTTTTTTCCTGTGTTCGTCCTATGGTATGTGCTACTATTCCCATCACCAGGAGTGACGGATGTTTGAGAGAAATGTAGACAGTCGCCAAAATGCCATTTGACAGGCTAAATGGCAGGATACTTTGATTAAGACTGCTTCCTGGTATCTGCTCAATGCTTGTTGTTGGAACAAGAGCTGTCTGCATGTACCAACATTTTGACAAAAGGGGCTTGTATTTATCAGGCTTGTCTGGTCACTAAATTTGGCCCATTAAAAGACATTTCAATGCTTGTGTCATTTCAGTGACCAGTCTGTGGGCTGCGTGGTATGTCTCGAGCTGAAGCCCATGTTGTGCTCTTCAATATGCTATCCCAAAAGTGTGCCTTCTTTTTAACCAGCATTGCTGGAGAAAGACACATTTGTAGCCAGTTCATTTAATAATTTTGTGCAACACCTGTGCAAAACAGACGTGGCATGTCAATATGTGATCACATCAATGAAGAGAGGTGAGGCACTTGGACAGTGCATCTCGATGCATGCAACGTTTCTGCGCGGAAGAGTTCTAGTCAGGGCCGTGGCCGAAAGCACTTGGGCCCCTCAAGCGTGATGAGAGTGGACGTGCAGTCTTTGCCGTTCAGTGCCCAAAGGCATGCCCACGGGGGGGGGGGGGCACAAAGTTTGTTCCTTGCATCGATTTAATTAGGAGGGGACGCTGCTGTGAACCCTCTGAGCATCTCTGTGCGCGCCCAAAGGAGATGACTTAGCACAAGGTCAACGCATTGCCCAAGCTGTGGCCTAGAAACTTTGGGACAACACTGCGGCAACAGATCTATTCAGGCTGGTATAGACTATCATTATAATTAGAAGCATCTGTGGAGACTCGAGGCTGTAGATCCACTACTTCTCGTCATTGTTAGGACTTTTTTTTTTTCTCTACTGCTTTCGTGCACATCAACCAGTGAGAAGGTTGAATTATAGCCTCTTTCAGGTGTGTGCCTAATAATATCATCTGACATTTTAAGTTGAATGCAGCATTCCTTGTTAGCCACCACGTGGCACATCCTTACATCGTATACTCAGCACCTACTCAGTAGTCCTTGTGAATCAACTCTAATGAAAGCATTCCTGGCATGTTTGGCATTGTGTTCATGATCATTGATTTCTCAAGACTTCTGTTTGAGTGTGTATTATTTGCTGTAAATAGGTGCTGTGAATGGAATGGAGAATTTTTCATTGTCTCTACACTTCAACCTCATAACAAAATCGCATCTGACATAAAAATGGCTTCCCTGTATTCTAAAACTTGTTATAAGCATACATATACGAGGTCTGTTAGAAAAGTATCCAAACTTTGGTGGAAGAAAAAAAAACTGGCGTAATTGGAGCATTGAAAACGTAATCCCACTCAACGCAGTCCCCTTGGGACTCCACGCATTTCTCCAGGTGGTGCAGCCATTGTTGGGAGCATTCTGAGGGAGGCCTCTTTTGGAATGGAGTTTAGCTCAGCTGTGATTGCAGCCATAATGTCCTCCCTTTTCTGAAATCGCTCTCCTTTGAATGTTCTCTTGAGTTTGGGAAACAGCCAGAAGTAGCAGCGGGCCATGTCAGGAGAGTAAGGAGCCTGCTGAACTTCAGAAGTCTGACTTTTTGCATAAAAAGTCATCACGCAGTCATCGCAGCGTTACGTAGGCGACGGAGGACATCCTTGTAGCACTCTTTGGTGATTGTTTAACCCTGTGGTGCATATACTTGTGGTATACCACACATCAGAAGTCAAACAAAGCGCACAGCATCACCTTGACGTTGCTGCGCACTGGCAGGCCTTCTTCTGTCTTGGTGACGTGGAATGTTCCTACTGTTACTGGGATTCGGTTTCCGGGTCGTACCCGTACACCGAAGGCTCGTCACCAGTGATAATGGTGTTCATGAAGTTAGCGTCACTGCTTGTGAAATCCAGCCTGTCCTGTAAGACAGGCTGGATTTCACGATTTCAAGAGACTTAAACACGAAGTTGCTTTTGCTGCACCGTGAGCTGTTTCAACACGAGTTTCGCTGCAACTCTCTTCATCCAAATTTTGGCCAAATCTTCTGTCATAACAGAATGTGCAGAGAAAGTCCTGATGCCCACCTCTTCCGCAATTTTCCATATAGTCAAAGAACGGTCCTGCATCACCACAGCGTTCACTTCGACAATGACCTGGTCATTTCGGCATGTTAATGGGCGACTGGAGCGTGGCTCGCTCTTTATCGATGTGTGGCCGGTTATTTAAACCGGTTGTACCACTTCTTGATCTTTGTACGGCTCATAGCGTCGTCAGTGAAAGCTGTCTTAATCTTCCGAATAGACGAGGCCAGGATTCCGGCTCACGAGGGGCTAGTTCGTTAAACGTCCACCACGTGCCGCATGAAGTTGAACCCTCCCCCTCGTTCCCTCTTTTCTCCTCTCACCATGACGCTGACGAGTTCCCTACGGAAATGGCTTCGCTCTTCAACTTGTTCTCGCCCAACCCTCATTGTGGGAACCAAAGAATAGCGCCCCGCTGCCAGTGCACTCTTACTCGCGTCGTTTAAGAGCCGGCCGGTATAGAGTACGCGAACAGGTTCCGGACCGGCCCTGAACAATTTTTCAGACTGAGGACTTCTTTCTTTCTTTGGCTTGGTTGAATTCGAGTCCTCACAGTTTTGATATAGTTATAGATAATTTATATACGAAGAAGCTACGACCAACTGCATTACATTCTTTAGTTTTTTTCTCGTCGTAGGTAATCTATTGTATTTATAATATCAGGTTCAATACTTAATTTGTGGCTAAGTCATAATATTGTCCGACCCAAACTTTTTGTAGGGCAGAACAAAGATTTTAATCTTGTTTTTTTGGCTATTGGGCTATTGAAAAGCACGCAAAAAATTAAGAAAGATGTTAGCAGAACGATTTTCACAGGAGAAGCATGTCCAGTATATTGGACACTGGGATTAATTTATTTTTATTTATTTATTTACAAATACTGCTGGCCAGAGGCCAAAGCAGGAGGGGCAAGATAATACAGTTGTCATACACATTTCAAAACAACATCAACAATAAAGAGAGTAAAAAGTGGAAAGCGTGACATATTTATACAATAGCAACAAAAGGAAAGAGTGGGGAAGGAAAAGAGGAAATAGTTGGAATAGTTAGAAAAACAACTTCAAATTTCAGCGTAAATAAGATCGGGAGAGTGTAAACTGCTTGCAGGCAAATCGTTCCACTCCTCAATGGTACGAGGAAAGAAGGAAAATTTGAACAAGTTAGTACGAGCAAAGAAAAAAGCAAAGAGTAAAGAAAACATTAGAATTCAATCAACCAAAGGAACAAGCAGGATTTCGAACAGGCTACTCAACAATTGACCACATTCATACTATCAATCAGGTAATAGAGAAATGCTCAGAGTATAACCAACCACTATACATAGCCTTCATAGATTACGAGAAGGCGTTTTATTCAGTAGAAATATCAGCCGTCATGCAAACACTGCGGCCGTCATGCAAACACTGCGGAATCAGGGCGTAGATGAAGTATATATAAACATTCTGGAAGAAATTTACAGGGGATCAACTGCTACTATAGTGCTTCATAAAGAAAGCAACAGAATACCAATCAAGAAGGGTGTGATGCAGGGGGACACAATTTCCCCAATGCTATTTACCGCGTGCTTACAGGAGGTTTTCAGAAGCCTAGAATGGGAACAGTTAGGGATAAGAGTCAATGTAGAATACCTTAGTAACCTGCGCTTCGCCGATGACATTGCATTGCTGAGTAACTCGGGGGACGAATTGCAACTCATGATTACGGAGTTAGACAAGGAGAGCAGAAAGGTGGGTCTTAAAATTAATCTGCAGAAAACGAAAGTAATGTACAACAATTTCGGCAAGGAGCAGCGCTTCGAGATAGGTAATAGTGCACTTGAAGTTGTAAAAGACTATGTCTACTTAGGGCAGGTAATAACCGTAGAGCCGAACCACGAGATTGAAGTAACTAGAAGAATAAGAATGGGGTGGAGCACATTCGGCAAGCACTCTCAAATTATGACAGGTAGATTGCCACTATCCCTCAAGAGGAAGGTATATAACAGCTGTATCTTGCCGGTACTTAGCTACGGAGCAGAAACCTGGAGACTTACAAAGAGGGTTCAGCTTAAATTGAGGACGACGCAGCGAGCAATGGAAAGAAAAATGGTAGGTGTAACCTTAAGAGACAAGAAGAGAGCAGAGTGGATTAGGGAACAAACGGGAGTTCAGGATATCATAGCTGAAATTGCGAAGAAGAAATGGACATGGGCAGGGCATGTAGCGCGTAGACAGGATAACCGCTGGTCATTAAGGGTAACTGACTGGATTCCCAGAGAAGGGAAGCGGGTTAGGGGGAGACAGAAGGTTAGGTGGGCAGATGAGATTAAGAAGTTTGCGGGTATAAATTGGCAGCAGCAAGCACAGGACCGGGTTAACTGGCGGAACATGGGAGAGGCCTTTGTCCTGCAGTGGACTTAGTCAGGCTGATGATGATGATGAGTACGAGCAAAATATGGTGTTAAAGAAAGTGCGTGTGAATGCCGAGTCTGGCGTGTTCTTAGTGGTGTGAGGTAGGGGTCAGGCTTCAGAGCGAATTTGCGGTTAGAAAGTTGGTACAAAAATTTGAGACGTAAGAATCTGCGTCTCGACTGCAAAAATGTGATACCATTTGAAAGCATTACACTAGTTACAGAACTACCAGGCTTGTAAAGAGAATAAATGAAACGAACTGCCCTCCGCTGAATTTTTTCTAATGCATCAATGTTAGTTTTAGTATAAGGATCCCAGGCAACGCATGCATATTCTAATTTAGGGAGAATCAAGGATTGGTAAGCTAAAAATTTCACTTTCGCAGGAGCATCCTTAAGTTTGTGCTTTAGCATGCATAATTTGCGGAAAGCTGCGGAAGAAACTTGTTTAATGAGGGAATTCCAACTTAAATTATTCGTTAGAGTGACACCAAGATACTTGTATTCCTTAACTTCTTTAAGAGGTTGGTTAGAGAGCGTGTAGTCAGTTAGTACTGGCTTTTTCTTGTTAGTGACACGGAGCAGAACTGATTTATCCAAGTTTAGTTTCATCCCCCATTGATTGCACCATAGACATATATTGTTTAGAGTGGACTGGAGAGCTGCTTGGTCATTAGAACTAGTTATTGAGTTAAACAGAATACAATCATCTGCAAAAAGTCGAACGTCAACAGGTGGGTTTACACAATTTACTACATCATTAAAGTATATCAAAAATAGTAGGGGACCGAGTAC